CGGCCAATATACTTCTATGACCTTTAATTATTGTAACAAAAACATTTTAATCATCTTACTACATTCACTAAATCTAAATCTATTGTATTACGCAATCTGCTATTATAATCTTTCTATTACGTCATCTTGCTTATTCCATGTTCGTATTTCTTCATGGAATTAGTACTTTACCGAAAAAAACTACCAAATTTGTTCACTGAAATCGAACCTATAATTTCAACAGGCAAAAACATTTTATTGACGAATGATACAGATATTTTCTAAACCACATTTGCATAAATTATAAGAATATGTTTATTTACATGAATACTATATGAATATACTACCATAATGTTTAGTGACCTGTATTTAACATAAGCTTTCATCTTACTTAACAACTACTTAAAAATAACAAATAACATGCTTGTTTGTTATTGATAAAAAATTGTATTTCAGTGATTATATTCCATTTTGAAAGTAAGTAAACAACATTAATTATTCTAGTCAGAAATATATCGTAAATAAATCGCGTGGACCCGTAAATAACGTTTGTCTAACTAAGAATGTACAACTTAAGTAGATTGAATAAAATGACAAATATGGTTATAAAAAACCGGAAAACACTATAAATATGAGAAGTATGTAGTTGACAAAAATCAGTTGGGTAGATTCGTTTAATAATAATGTGTAATACTTGATCTTTGAAATGCTGTAAACTGAACTTGTTCAAAGACATGATGTCTAGTCATCATGTTGAATTTGGGTGATCATTTGGTTAATTTTACATTCTAATCACAACTAAAATTCTGTTCACATCTATACATCTGTGCTACATTGGAAATCCTAGATTATAATCTTCAACATACAAAATGGGCCTGTATAATCAACAGAAAGACTTCAAACTTCATAATAGGATTCAGAGAAGACTAAAGGTTATAAATATTCGAAATAATACTCTCTAGTGGTATTGTGATCCTACTAAAATGAAATTGCATTTAAATTTTCTGTTCCATCTCAAATCGTTTTGAGTTTCATAAAACATAGTGAAGGCTGCATGGCTATCACCTCCAACTTTCAAATAGTAAGTCTACGATTCGAACCCCACTTCACCTATTCCTGTTTAAGTTACAATTGTCACAATTGAGATGGTTTTTAAATTTATCCACTATGGCGTTCAGGTAGATACATATCCCCACTAGTAGTTATGGTTGTTTGAATCTTCCCACTGATATTTAGGACTACAATCGATCAATCTTTTTCGACTTATGTGGATCTTATACGGGCTGTCTCGAAACTATCACTAAGCAAAGTTGGATGGTGGCCAGTAGTGTTACCCAGAAAGCAGTAATGTCCAAGACGCGCATTTCATCCTATTTGAGACTTATTAGCTGGATATACATCAAATCTCAGATCTATGCATATCCAACCGACAAGTCCCAAATATGATGAAATGCGCGTCCTGGACATTACTGCTAGTCACCACCCAACTATGTTAAGAAAATCTATTATCTATATTTGGTTTTCATTACCATTGATACTAACTATTGTTTGAATTCTTATGCGTTTAATTTTATTAATTTCATCGCTCTGTAAACTGAGTTGGTTATGTTTTTTACGACTTGCCTACTGATTGGTTGTTACAACAAGTCATTTGTTAAACACTTCTTTCCTTAGATCTCTAACAAAACATGAATTCAAAGACAGTCTAAAAACTTCGTGAAATTGAAATAGATGTATTCAGTCTAAAAAAATCTGAGTTTTTTAAAAAGTCTGTTGACACACGAACGAATAATATTGAAGCACCTGACTGACTATGGAAATGATTAAATGATTTTACACAAGTTTCTTATTGAGACCTTAGGTCTAATTGAATTATAAAGCAATTAGTCCCTTTGACCAATTTCGATGTTGGGTTGCTAAATAAAATATTAATGAAAAATGACTATCCCCGTAAATTCATAAATAGATGGGAAGTTCGTTGTACAGTGGGACCTACTATAGCTTTGACAAACAAAAGGCCTGTCTACATCACCTTACCATTCAGAGGTGATTCACATAGCCTTTTATTTGAAACAATGGCTTAAATCAGTCATTAACAAGGCAGATTGTGCAGTGAAGGTCATTATCAAAGAAACAACAAGGTTCGTGCTTAGTCGAAAACCTAAAAGACAAGAAAACGATTGCATAACATCTCACTGTGTTTACCAGTTTAAATGTGCATGTGGTCATATATAGATTGGGAGGAGTAATCGTGATCTCAAAATTAGGGTGTGTAAGCATCTACCTAAATGGTTGCAGAAACAAATCAAATCAAATTACCCAATAAGAGTAGAGGATAAACATCCATCATCCTCTATTGCTAAACATATAATCGAAACAGGTCATAAGTTGATCTTAACTCGCCTTTTGTGGTGTTGTACCAAGTGTAAATAGGTGTATACTAAGGCTTATTGAAGCTTATTTCAAGCCCCCTCTGTGTAGTCAAAAAGTCTGTTCTAACCTTAAACCTTCCCTGGTAATATTAGCTTATTATCCAGAGTGATTAGGTTTCAAATTGTTTTCACATTATTTCTTTATTATCCTTGTCTCTTACCTCCCATTTCTAGTCTAGTATATGTGTGATCAGATTGTTCGAAATGTTTTGCGCTAATATATCACATAGTTATGATAATCTTCGTCTTCTAACTGAATTGGTTTCAGTTTCAGATTAATGTTTGGTTTTTATTTCGTAATTTTTAACTTAGTTTTAATATCATAGACTAATTTATATTTTATGTAGTAAATAATTTCTAAAAATGGTCATAATAACACTGAATATGTTCCATTAATGAAGTAATAACGAATGATAATGTAACTCTCTTTAATAGTTAAATGAAATTGAACCACTTATGTATTCATGTACGTGTACATAGAAACAAAAAATATGTACATCTTATTAAAGTACATATAACGAAAAATCTTCTCCATAAATTGTCTTCGGGTTTGACAATTATTTATCCAAATTAATGGTCTTATAGGTAGTCGGATTAATGGCCAAGTACATCGTTTAAAATTATAACGTATGAACTTATGATTATTTCTAATATAAAATAAAATACAGGTGAATTGCAATTAATGTTTTCCATACGTTCTATGATAACTCTGAGATCGGGTGATAAATTACTTAGACTAAACATCTCTTTCCGTATCTATCAATTCAACTGCTCTTGCGGAGCAACTTATATTGGCAGGTGTTTTAAGAATTCGTATATTCGTGCTCGCGAGCACCTCCCAGTATTGTTAAGTGAAGGTACAGTTAAAACTGTTAACTGCTCGATTTTAGTTCATTTAGTACAAACCAACATAGTGCAATCACTTACAGTAATATGTCGTATCAAAAACTATATGCTTAAATCCGTCAGACTAATAATCCATCAGATGGCTGAAGCAATAGCTTTACGTCTGGGAAAAATATGTTCAACCGCTCCTTTACTTTGATCAACTTCTGACCTAATTAGTTAATGATCATGTGGTGATATAGTGACGTAATCCGATTAATGTTCATACAACCTTCAGTGCATTTTCACAGCTTGAACTTATCTTAGTCACATAGTATTATTACTATTATTATTACAACACTAGCAAGCGCCTTGAGAAATTTATTCAGCATCCATCCCTATTTACTAATTCGTATCTAATTCAAATTACGTGATTTCCGATTTGTAATTACACTATTATTTCTCTCATGATTTTAACCACATTTATTTTAGTCGTTTATATCACAATTTCATTTAACGTATAAACTTATTAAAGTCATTCCAACATTAACGATTTTACTAAAGTATTAGTACCTTGGGGACATGTGAACGAAAAATAGAAATGATGTAACAGAATGATTATACTGAACTGTGTAATTTTTCTAATATCACCTTATTTCATTTTACCCCTTTACTACTTTTGAGTATTGTAACAAAAATATTTTAATGCGATTAGAGAAAGATAGATAAGAACTTTCGTTTGAATCTGATAGAATAGTTTCACAGTATTTTAGTATAGTGAAAATTCTCATCTTGACTTTCGGTCCAAAAATGTTTTAATCATTTCACTTCATCCTCATTATAATCCGTCACTAACTTAATAATTTTACAAGGCAACTTGAAACTGTAAGTAGATTATGTTTAAAAGCTGTCTTTATCATTTCTCCATCTATTATTGCTTTCGTATAATGTACATTGGTGATTCATGTATTTGTAACTCATCTACTAGATACAGGTATTCCTACTTGCTTTTTAGTTACATTGTATGTGAATGTAAGTGACACTGCATATTACAAATATCAAAGTAGGTGGAGTATAGTTTTAACCTAAAAACCATTATTGTAAGCAAACAAGAATGGTGGCTAGCAGTGAAATCCAGGACGTGCGATTTGTCCTATTTGGGAATCATCAGCGCGGTGCAGTCTGGGACTCGAACCATTCCATATTTGCTTATAATGCTTGTGACCGAAGGCAATAGCGAGGCGATCAGCACATATACCAATGAAAGACTGATGAATTGCAGTCCTAAACATCAATGGACACATTCCAACAAACCATACAAAAATGAATAAGAACTTCACCCGATTGCACAGATTAGTGGTTGTCTGGACTCCGTAGCTAAGTGGATAACGTGATAGCATTTGAAGCAAACGGTACTGAGTTAGAGTCTAGTAATGAACATCAACTGTGGAATGCAGTTACATCCAACTGAAAAGTTTCAAATAGGGCAAAATGCGCGTCCTGGATTGTACTGCTAGTCACCATCTATCTTTAATTTTACTTTATATTACAAACAGTCGTAAATTCACATGTACGTTTCCACCTATTGAATTATTAATTTAAATAAATAATTGTAGAACCTAAAGAGCATTTATTGAAAATAGCATTTTCCGTACATATATCTGTGTTTTAATATGATGGAAATTTTTCAGCGATATATCTTATTTTCAAGAAATAACCAGTCATTTTATATTTACTTTTTTTTATCATTTTATATTATAAAAGTTAACATAATGGATTTATGGCGTGTGGTAGAGACATTCAGAGAATTCGGTTTACACCAATTGAATGATCCACAAGCAAGTTTAGATTATGGAAGTACATTCCGTTTACTATCACGTATTTATTCACATATACCTACAACAAATATGAATGCGAATACTACAAATGATGAAACTACATCAAGTAATGCAATCAATCGACCTGCAATAATTATTGCAGCAGAAATCCTACTTGGTTGGCTTGGATATGCTTTGGACTTATGTGCAACTGGCCGACTTAGCGTAACTGGACTAAAAATAACCTTATCGACATTAACTAATGCGAGACCAGCTGATAAATTTCGATGTGAGTGCTTTTGAATGCCCTTGTGAAAATATTTTAATGATATTTCACGGAAAATTTTGTTCACTGAATAATTATTCAAAACACTCAGACCGTTTCAGAAATTTCGACAGTATTGAGAAGACGAAGTTAATCTGAAAATTAAGCTTGTATATTATATATTTCTACCATTCTCGTCTCACATACTTATCATGGCATATATATATCAAAACCAGTAAAGGACAACTAAGTAAAAGTTCAATAGATATAAAATGATAATTTGAAATCATGTTTGGAAAATAATAAGTAGTATGGTTTAGCAATGTACGGAAAACTTCAGCTACTCAGCTTTCCTTGTAGTTCGGAAAACATGTTCCTATTACATTGATATTTTTGGCACCAACGTGTGTTAAAGATGCTAGATCCCCAGAAGTCACTTGGTAACCGACTTATTTTTGTAATTTTATTTTGGAAATTTAAGCCAAAGGCTCGTACCTTCAAATTGTATTTCCCATTTGAAAGGTCATTAGTTGGTTGCCCCTTTTACTATACTATTCAATATCCATATATGTTGAAGCAACGAAGGTTATATGTAAGAATCCACTTGTTTTTTTTGAGCACTTATGTCTGTCAACCATCATGAGGCATAGGGTGACGTCCAGGATTCTCCAACCAAATCTCTCCTGGACCCTCCTTCCCAGTTGTCGTCAAGTGCTCTTAATTCTTTTGATTTGTGTCTCCAATGCCCGGCGCACTATGTACTTTGGTCTACCTCTTTTCCTTTTGCATTGAGAATCTCATGATAGAGCTTTCTTTGTGAGTCAGTTTGATTATTCCCACCTCCAGTTTTTTTTTCTTTATTTCTTGTTCAGATGGAAACTGGTTTTTTCGCTGCCACAGCAGACTGTTGTTGACGTTTCCTGAATAACGGATATGAAGTATCTTGCATATATAGCTGTTTATGAATATCTGAACTTTTTAAATGATTGTTGTAGTAGTTCTCGAATTTTCAGCTCTGTACAACAGAAGTGTTTTGACGCTTATATTAAACATTCTGACTTTGGTGCTGGCTAACAATTGGTTTGTATTGTATATGTTCTTCAGTTGTAGGAATACTGTCCTTGCTTTACCAATCCATGCCTCCTCATATGCATCAGATCCTCCTTGTTCATAAATGATTCTGCCGAGGTATGCAAAACTTTCCATCTCTTCTAGAGACACTCCACCAAGTGTGATTCCGTTGGTCCTCTCTGTATTGCCATTGTGTTTATAAAGGCCTACTGTTGTAGAGGCTTCTGCCAAACTTGTTGTCTTCACCTACATTTGTTATTGTATATGGGATAGAAGGACCGCGTCATGTGAGAAGTCCAAATCGTCTAGTTGCATACAAGCTGTCCATTGTATTCTGTGCTTCCTCTAAGACATGAAGGTCTTCATAATCCAGTCAACCACCACAAGGAAGTGAAAGAGCGAGAGTAATCAGCCTTGTTTGACACCGATTTTCACTTGAAATGCATCTGTGAGCTGTCCTTCATGGACGGGTTTACAATGTAATCCGTCGTATGAATTCCCTTTGATGTTAACGATATTCTCACGTACACCCTAGTGTCGAGGAAGATTCCATGAGGTTAACCTATCCATATTGTCAAATGATTTCTCATAGTCAAGGAAGTTGATCTATAGTGATAAACTATATTTCTCTACTAGTTTCTTCGTTGTATCACACAGTTGTCTCGTATTTCTTTCCCATGCAGCTTTTTTGCTGTTATTGCTAGGTCTTCTACGTATTTCCGCTTGTCTTTTGTGAACCTTCCGAATTTTTCAGTGATACAAATGTGACCAGTTTGATTCTACGTATTGTGGTCCATTGAAACTCATCTAACTTGTATATGCGCCTATTAGTTGAAATAGTGCCACTTACAAAAATGTTGTTGATAGCACCTAACTTTGCCAGTCTCTCACCATTCTCCCCCTCTTTCTCCCAGTTCATGTCGCTCCATGATGTCTTCAGACACGGTGTTATCCATACCAACATTGATGTTCACGTTCACCATCCTCAGAATTGCCAGGTCTTTGCATTTGGCAGTTCTCTACGATTGACTGCAACCTCTCATAAAACTGATCTTTATCATCTTCACTGCTGTCATTGATGGGAGAGTAGCGTTCACCGACATTCATTGTAATCCCCTCATTTTTTGTTTTGATTAATGCTTTGATGATTCTGGATCCATGAGATTCTCATCTTATAAGTGCTTTTCATGCTTGTTTGAATACATCGACTCAACTCCCTGTGTGTGCGAGGCGTTTTGTTCTTCATAATCAAAGTACAACAGTATCTCCCTCGAAGCTAATATTTTCTATCGAGATTGGATGGAATGAGTTTCGCCTGATCCGATGGTCGTCAAATTGTATCTCTTCATTTCCTTAACTGTTTGAAGGGTCCACCCTGTTTCTGCACTGTGCTGACATATATATATATATATATATATATATATATATATATATATATATATATATATCATCAAAGTTGTGAAAGTTGGACTAATTTGTGACCCCATAAAATTTTGAACATAAAACCAATTGACTTTACGTGGTGGTCGTATCTGCTATTCAATATATTGTTTGTTATAATCAATACAGTCATCACCACGCTTCAAATGTTTAAGACTTTAGAGTTGTGTTTCATTGCCATTTATCAAATGATTAAAAATATCAGGATAGATTGTTGCTATATTATGTTGTAATCTCATATGAATCATATGGTGATAAAACCGTAAATGTCATACGATATTCAATTATTACAGTCATGTTGTTATCATCTTTTTGTGGATATTTCTTCCATAAAACCTACAACTTCTACAATTATTAATGGTTACACCAAAAGTTTTGACCGATTACTATAAATGTTACTGTTTAAAATAAAATTTTAAGTTATTCACTTTCTTTTTCAGATCACTTCACTCTTTTGTCCGATCCCTCTGGTGCATTAATTTTCTCGAAATTCGAGGCTTATCTACAGGATTTACTCAAATTACCTATAAGTGTTTTCGAAGGCACAAATTTCTACTACACGCCACAAGCTTCACAAACAATGTTTACTGGGGTATGTTTCAGTTGAATTTGTAGTAACGTTCGTGGATAGTCAAATATGTAATTGACTCGTTGTTCTTTGTGATATTTGAATAGCTGTGGGAGTAGCTTTTAGAATTATATTTATTCTAGTGCGTAATTTCATTCAAAGATTTTTCGTCATATATATGATAGCAAAATCTAGTTCAATCTAATCGTTAAAATGATAATGCTTAAGGAAAATTCTCATCGTGAATGAATGAACAATTAGCATCGTCAAATTCTTACCAAGCCGATGTAGCTTTAGTAAATAAACTGTGATTATTGGAAAAAATATCTAGATATTTTTGTGTAGAAGAATGAAAACTTTTCACTACAATGTTGCAATAGGAAAAAGTAAAAAAATCTAAATACATAGGCAACCATAAACTTTTCATATGATTAAGGCTTTGATATATCTTGGATTGTTCCTTGACAGTTTCTGGGTCAATATTCTACAGCCTTTTCTAAGTCTCTACTATCACCTGTATTGAATTTGTGTTTGGTAATACAATCACCGGTTTTTATCCACTGAAGTTATCTGATGTAGTGATTTTAACTTGGTTGAAGGCATTTCTGCAACATATTTCAATTACTCCTTTGTATATTTGTTCAAACAAGTTAATTAATAGATGCATTACAATATTTTTGAAAAGTCTGTATAAAATTATGTATTCGTCCTTGCAGTGGCAATGAGTTTGGTTGTGTATTTGTGTTTTGTCTCCATTTAGGAATAAAACTTCTTTTTTTCTGTATGTTGTTGGGATTTAGGCACTTTTTCTCTGAACGCTAAGCGTTAAAGAGTTTGTATGTCACTTGAGTTCTACTTTGAGAAACTTCAGTAGCTTTTTGTATAGTAATTATTTTTTAGTCATGAGTGTGATAAATATTCCATATAGAGATCAAATACGCTTAAATATGTTGAATAGATACGTTAGTAAGCCAAGTTTTACTTCATTGAATAACAGGTATGAAAGTTCAGGATTAATAAACATTCTATTTACACCAAGTGATTTATGGATGACCATTTTTTTAGATATTGACTGTCATTTATCTCATTCTGAACTTTCAAACTTCAGATTGGTCATTGATATATATGGTAGTTGCAGCAACGAGAATTACTCTTGACTTACCTGAAAGAGTAATTCATTTCTTCTTCACAGTTCGTTTTCTCGAGGAGTCGAAGATTGGCTCCCCAATCCTTTCCTCTTTAAGATCACTTTTAAAAGCCTCTCATATTAAAAACCTTTACAAAGGTAGATTATTTTTAAAACACTATGTTACACATCATACTAATAAGTTTATTCCCAACAGAGCCGGTCAAAAGTGCTTTCAAAAAGACATCTATATAACTTCTGAAAGTGTTTTAAATTTGTAAGAATGTACTGTTGAGCAAAGTAAACAAATACATTTCAACATGCAAGCAGTCGTCTTATCACATTTTTGTTTATTTTATATTACATAAATTATTTTTCTGAATACCTCATAAATAACCTTCATTAAAGATCTTCCATTAAGTTACTAAAAAATGAGAAGTGGTAGTTTCTTTACGAAATCATTTAAATAATGTAGCGTTTAGGTTAACAATGTTTAAGACTGAGTGTAAATTGTATCGATGTCATTTACATGACAAAATAAATGGTATGATTTAGATCAGAATTGATGATAACACCCACAAAGAACATCCCTAAATGAAACACTGTCAGTGGTTCAGAAGTTAAGTGTTCGCGCGAGACCGATGATCCTGTGTTCGGATCTCACGTGCCGGATCGTGGATGAACACTGCTAAGGAGTCAAATAATGGATGAAATAGCTGTTCAGTGCTTCCAGGTCTTCGACGGTGGTCTAACATTGATCGGTTCAGGATTTCAGTAAAATCCAACATTCCCCACAATCCTATACTGATAATAAATAATATTCAGTGACACACTTTCTTTAGAAAAAAGAAAACAAAGAAATATTATGTACGTTATCCTGCAAGTCAGCTAGTTAATAAGCGATGCGTCCGCTGAACACACTTATTTCAGAGTTATTAATTAAAACTGAAGGGGAAATTTATCATGTATTATTTAAATAGATTAACAGTAATGATAATGACTAAAGTTATGTGAAATAAAAGGCAATTAGAGTAGCAGACAGTCAAGGTAAAAAGAGTTTAGTAAATATTTCTTATATACAACACGAAGCTTTAAAAATTGTATTTTTCCCATTGTTTTTTATTTGTAAACACATTACATGCCTAGACAAAAAAAAGGAAAATAATATATTTTTCCTTTAAATCATGTCAGAAGATTTTATGGTTAAATATCCATTTTTATTAATGAATTTTAATAGTAATCATTCACAAAATCTCATGACTGAAATGAAACAACCGACTAGAATGTCCAAACTCTCAGTTTTATCACAAGCACTTAATTATTAGATGTAATTATGTGTTTCTTTAAATGCATCAAAAATAACCTGCCAATAACGTGATTCGACGTCTTAAATATTGGTTTGCTGGGAAAGTGTAGTCTTTAATGACCCGGGATCTGACTCCAGTTGGATTGCTTCTGATTGCTATCGAGATATACATATCGTCAATCCTCGTGTATGATTATCGACTTAGATCGCGTTAGTGAATAACGGAATTAAATAAGTCAAATACGAGAATGGATTTTCCAATAAATATATTTTGTATAATCATTGATCGGGACAGATAATCAGAGACGTAGCGAAGGAAGCGAAGAGAAGAGAGCGAAACAACGTGCAGTGGAGGAGGCATGTAAGCCAACTCAATTTAATCATCCGTCAATCACTATTTATAGTCACACAAAAATAATCTACAGACATGTGGTGAGTAGGATAAGAAGTGTACACACATACGCTTACATGAAAACACTCAAGGTTGATAAGGGAATAATCAACAAGGTCAAAATGTGACTCAATTAAAATGAATAGATTGGCCTGTCCAAAAGCTAGAATAATGTATATAGGCTTAGCATAATAACCGACACTACAATTCGCTTCTTCCCCGAAATCTTTAAAGTTTCTTTGCTTCCTAAAATATTTTTTATTAAACCGACTCAGTTCGTTATATACTTTAGATTCAATAAAATGTTTCTCTAGTTAAGGATCACACAAAAATGAATTTTAAAATAGATTTTAATGAGGTAATGGAATGTTTTCGTTCTGTTGATTCTATTGTGTACTGTTTGGTTTTTATTTTAAAAGCGTTCTAAAAACGTAGTCCTTGAAGAATTTTTGGATCGTATGCTATCGGATCAAGGACCACAAATATTAGTATGGCTTACGATTTTTCACCGGTTGATCAGTGTGGCGAGTGGTAAGTGGTATATTGAATATTTTCCGGAAAATTAACGAAATGAAAACTGTTGTGTCATTCAGAAAAATAAGGATAAATCAATGAAAACAAGGTTCTTGTTGGCAATATCACTTTTTAAAGTTGTACAATCGTATTTAGCGTAATTTAACACATATATAATAAACCATCGAAACAGAAAAAATGATTACATAACTGTCTGTTTAGGAATTGATATCATATCCATTAAAAATAATTTGGTTTTTCTCATGAGTCGTATAGTAGGTAAAATACAAAGCGTGCCATGTGACTAGTGGTGATAAACCAAGTTATACCAGAAATGGGGTGTTAGTTACTAATTAACTTAATGTTCGCTGAGATCTACTTTATTCACAGGTGTCATTTAATACAAACTTTCACTAAATAAAGGGAAACATCTATTCAGTTTTTAGTGATTTACAATGTTTCAAATTTACTACGAAAATAGTATTCATTTTTTAAAAATTCACCGTTCAATGTATCCATTCAAATGTACCAACCATTATTCGATCAGAAGGTGAAAGTCATTTAACAACATCAAACATATTCAACATTTGCTTTCAGTACATTTGATCGAATACATTACTTGATATCATGAAATGTGTATTTATTGGTAAATACATCTTTGTCTTCAACCTAATACTCCAATAAACTGTGGTTTCAGTATTATTTAAATGTGAGTGATATTTCACTGAATAAATCCAAACTTGAATCTCAGACAGTTAAAACCATATACATACCATAAAGCTACAGACATGAATGTTACAGCTTAAGTAAATGCTTTCGTCGAAAAGAAAAGTTTTTTCTGAATTCTCTTTATTTTTATTCAATGACACAATGACTTATTTTAGTTATAAAAACTTGACTAATTAGGAAATGCTTAAATTTATTTAACTAGTTTTTTTAATGTTATTTCATTATAGTCCGACATAACGTACGATGTGAGGGCTGCAAACGTGAACCAATTTGCGGTCTACGCTACAAATGTACTCGATGTCCTCACTATAATTTGTGTCAAGATTGTTTTTGGATTGGCGTAACCACAGATCAGCATACAAATGCACATGATGTGAAAGAATATAGTGCTGCTTCAGTAAGCTAATATATATATGGTTCATTACAGATCATTATTGTATGCAACACTTTACTCTCATGCTTAATGGAAAGATATTGTTCTGAATGAATATAAATAAAAAGCAAACTTAAAGTATTCTAATACAGATCTTTATAAGGTAATTTAGGAAATTGGAACGTTTGGTGTATGTTATCGGTATATTATGGATGCTAATGTAGTAGGATATTCTGTTTCAAAACCACAACAATAAGTTATCTAAAAGAGGAATTTATACCTGGGTTTTCAATGTATACAGAATGAACTATATTTAATTGGTCAATCTGAAAATGAAACGCATGGTATACGAGATGTAATAATTTCTGAGTAAGAACTTTTAAATCCTGCAATACAAACAATAATCATGAGTGTTTCTTGCAATGCACTCATCACTATAATGTTTGCTAGTTAATAGCACCTTTTAACTTCAAATAATAAATATTGGTACTTATCGAGTTTGAACGAAACAACAGGCAATTCAGATCGTTCTGGTTTATCATATTTGTGTACCTATAGATAAGGAACACGGATTTCATTAACAAATGAAAATAACATAAAAGAACGATGACTGTTCATTTATTATAAAATCTTAAATAATCAATAATTATTATTTTGATTTACTGAAATGTGTGTGGTAAGATACGTATAACCACAAGCATACCGTCAACTGACTGAAGATAGAGTTGCACACCACTGCGTTTCGACTCAGTGGTCTAGAATTTAAGCGCTGGCGAACGAAATAAAATGTTTGAGGTTCGATTCCTCGTTATAGGAACAAAATGGCTATCACGTACTTCCGTTTTCAACGCATTTACAGCTTAGATAGAGTCGTGATCTTTTTGTGACCCTATATCTAACTCAATCTAGATCGGACAAATGATCGTTATCGAATGATTGCTATCGAAATATACATCCTGGCTATCCTCGTATATAATTATCGACTTGAATCGGGTTGGTGAATAACGGAATTGAATAAGTCAAACGTGAGAATGAAGTTTTGAACTCGTATGTTTTGTAAAATCGTTGATAAGAGAAACAGAGCGAACGAAGCGAAAAGAGAGCGACGCAAAATAACCCTCAATGTAGAAAGAATATGAGCCAATTCCTTTTAATCAAGCGCTAGATAATTCTCTTCAGTCAACCCCCATCAATGGATAAAAATCATTTCGAGGTAGATAAATCTCCTGACGACTATGCCACGTTGTTTTCCATACATAGAAGAATTGCTTAGCTTGTATTTTATTTATTGCTTGGGCTGGGGATAAACTCCATGTTTCCAAGTCATCTAAGGTATCGTAGTTAGTAATTAGAGTTATGTTTTCGTTTATTCAGTCACTAAGCTGTAGATATTTTGGAATAACTTCTATTATAGAATTAATTCAAGGTATGACCATTGCTAGGTTATAATTTTTCCCATCATGATTGACTGAAGTACACTTGACATACGGTATTTTCGTTGTAGGATATTTTACATTTTACTCGTAAGCCAGCAAAGACGACAGATGACAAAACATGCCCTCTATTATTCATTACGATAGTGTAAATTAGAATTCCCACTTCATTTTAGTTGGTTGTCAGGTCCAAGGTCAAAACTGCCAACAATAGTGGAGTTCATCCTCACCCGTCACATGTATTAACCAAGTGGAATTTATGGAACACTGTAGTAGTTCATTGAAGTCTTAGCAACATTATTCTATAAATTTGCTACTAATTTTATTTCAGAAATCTCATTCCCGTCAGTTTGGACATTCTTTGAGAAAATCGTTTCAATTTGGACGGGCTATTACTAACTCCACAACATCGAATGTTGTTACTACATCTTTCACAAGTAGCTTCAGTGAACGTCAGAAATTTTCTGGCATGAATGTTGCTCGTCGTCCTCATGTAGGATCTATATTCGAATGGAATTCAGACCCTTCTGTACCAACCGGCATTATTTCTTGCGTAAACGGCATTGCTTCAGCTGTACAACCATCTTCTGTACCGAACGACATTGCAACGGGTATTTCTGCTGTATGTCATCCAGGCCAACCTGTTTCAAATCAGAGATTCATGGCACCAGTGAATACTATTTGTAGTCCATTACCGAATCGGCGCTTGCAACAGCTCAATCCTTTATTTTTAGCAACTCGACCAAGCACCAACTTATCTAATTTCACATATGTACCTTCTCAACCTGTACAAGTTCAACCTTCCCCTAACAGTTTGAACGAATCGAATCAAGGATCGAGTGGTGTTGCACGAAATTTAGTGGCCGTCACCTGCTATACAAATGTAATGCAGCAACAAGACATGATTACCGCAGACTATACAAGAGCCGGTAAGCTACACTTTTACTTAATTTTCTCTCTGTAAAATTATTACTACTTGAGATGACAAACCATATGTTAATCTTTATCTGTTTTCGAGTCCACTAATTGCAGAATAAATTATAAGTTAACTAAAAATAACCAAAAGAGATATATGCGGAATGAAAATGTAATATTTTTTTGCTACGACTTGTGTACATATTACAACAGTTAGATTAAACTGATGAACACAATGCTATGTAAAACGTAATTGTACTTTCGTTTTGCTGACCAAAATTTCGCTCTATAGACTTTCATTAAAATAAATTATATGAATGTTATTTCAAGGATATTGTCTAATATTATTTCCAGTCATGAATATTTTACTTATTGATTAAAATACTTGACGTTCAGTCAGTGATTGTCAGGTTCGAAACACACTCCACCTACTTTTGTTTAGGCAGTGAAATTTCACAGACCTAACTACTTTTAAGCCAAACCACTCTTTTAGATAAAATTTTCGATTCATTTACAGTATCATGATTACTCAGTCTTACTGGGATTTCGATGACCGAAACGATAAAGTATAAAATTAAAGAATACTCACAATCAAACATTATAAGTGCTAATATAATGACTCATTTTCGTTTGCTTTATTTCAGGACACAGTATTTTATATTCTGATGTACCTCCTGGTTCACACATGCCCAATCTGTCAGGAGCAAATCATCAACCATTACCTATGTAAGTACGAGATGTTACTATAATATTTCTTTTCAGTTGTGACTCTATAATTTATCTTTACCCAGTTTCTATGAAAGCATTATACATAACTTTGAACGGAATATGACAACTGAAACTATTATGTAAGCTATATTAGGGTCAGTTTAAAGGAGCTATTTGACCCCAGTATTGGTGATATACTTGGAAACCTGGGTTGTCTATTTTTCCAACCATTAGAATATTTCAATGAGATACCTGTTTTATATTCAATTTATCTAAGGAGTTCTGTCAGATAATCGTACTATCTATGCATGCAGTTATATCAATAGATTAGAACTTATCGTTCTACAAAATAAAATTCAATTGGGAACATTCATAAAAGCAATGACAGTTGGTCAGAAATCCATTCCTGAAGTACCTAGTTTTAGTCGCGCACGCATCATAAGTATCAATATATATTCTTAAGTTATTGTCGGATTCATTTCAATAACAGAAGTACGTGGCAATGCAGCTATGTTCACAAATATGTGCTAGTGTCAATTTAACTGCACATGTTTTTGGTTTTCAAAAGACTTTGTACATCATGTAACATTAAGTGATATGAAAAACAACTGAATAGATACATTGATATCACCAACATTTTTGTGATCTTGGGCTACATTCCTTCTGTACTATCTGTTTTCGCTGATGAATTCATTGAATTTGCTGAGACTGCGATGAGGTGTTCTATTTTAGTTAGAAATTATGATTTCAACTTATGCTACTACACCTTTCATCTCTAGTTCACCAAAATCTAGTTAACTTCCTTACCCGTTTCGATACTCCTCTATATTTGGTTTCATTAAGTGAGTCAACTCGCTAACGGCCTTCTCTTCTAAGTTCTGATCATTTTATTCTCCGTAATTTTGTGAAATAATTGCGATAGTTAGAATTTCGAGATTGATCTTTAACTTTTCCTTTTCAAAGTCTTATATGAACTTGTTTTTTGCTCCTACCAAATTGTGATAAAACTATGTTCAAACAGTATGAATTTCTTTAAAGCTAACTTTATTAGTTAACCTAAGACACTGAATCCCGTATGAACAATAATCTATGTTCAATTGTAATGCTGAAAATAAACTTTATGTAGTTTTTTTTCATCAAGACTAGTTGGTGATCATAAACAATTCACTTACATTCTTTATATTAATGAAATAAATTTTTCTGCATAACTTTCTTTTGTACAGATCATGTTATTCTCAACCTACCACAGACATTTATTCAATTGGTGGTAATCAAAAATGTCAATTAGCTACTACAACAACTGGACAGCCAGCTATACAATCTACTCCCATAGTATCTGTGATTAATAGCGATAATTTAAATAATTCAAGCATGGGAGCTAGTTTCTCGTTGAAAACGCACAATCTTGATCAAAAATCTAATGAAGAACATAATTTAATTGCTAGATATGCTGCCCAGTTAGCTGCTGCTTCAGCGTTAAACCAAGAATTCGATGTAAGCAAACACTTTAAAGAAATAAAATTACATCCCTGTTTATACTTGTAAGCTTTTAAAAATGAGGCATAAAAATAACCTTCTTTGAATTTTTAATTAAGACTTAGTTGTGATTTAATGTGTAGAAATGATTGGTTGTCATTGTTATAGAAGACAGTTTTAAGGTTTCATTATGATGAGTACTTTTAAGGGTGGATTAAATGATGGACAGAAGGTCGTTAGACATATGATTTTTCATGGCTGACCAAAAGCTATTCACGTGTCTGAATTATTGATATAAGACTGTGAGTGAGCTGTTACTAAATGGAAATACAATTGGGAACAAATTAGCACAATGACATGCAGATAAATGAAAAATTTAGCAAAAAATAATTATGATTAAAAGTCTATTCATATGAGTTTGTAATAACCCGTTAACAATATTCAGGACCCAATTTTGGTGAACGTCCTTTGTCGTATATACGTCCAGAGTACATCCTCAAACATGATATGTTTGTAACAAGTGTATTTGTATTCTGGGAGGCAAATGTAGGCTGTATTAAGACATCCACTTACGACTAACATACCTACACAGACTGATTATTATTCAATTCTGAGTGTTCATAAATAGGATTATAAAAACCCTTACAAATACTTTCAAGTATTTTAAATAGGTTAGTGACTATTTCGGTTAAGTAGTTGAATGCATAAGGAGTCGACATTAGAAGAAGTCGATACTAAGTTCGAGTCTCCATTTATCCAGAAACATTAGGATGCCTTTAAGTTGATGATGAGTTCGAATTAACAGATCAAGACTATTAATACGAAATTGGGATTATTGTGGCGTAGTTATCGTGGTAATAATGGTAACGACAATAACAAAAATTATTAATAAGTATATCGTATAAAATAAGAATATTGCATGCATAATTATAAATAAGAAGAATTGTCACGTGAGAAAGTATAAAACTCTTCTTAGTCAATCAGATGGGGAACTATTAGGTTTTTAAAATATTTCATGACTTCTTTCCCTAACCATCGTAGTACGTGTTCACGAGAGCTCAAGGATGAGGAATTATGAGTACGGTCAATATCCCCCCAAAGGAGTATTTACTTTTCTAAATTCACATAGATTAGCTCATCACTTGCTGCGTCAGTATTTGTTTTGCCTATATGCATACTTCAATGTTTTGTTTAATGTAATTTAATAATTATGGAATTATAACTGTTGATCCTGAGAATAAAAGATTATTCTAATTGAAAGGTGTGTTCGAAAAACAAGAAATTCATGTATTTTTTAATAAATGAAAAATACGGATAGTATCCTTCAATCGAACACTAAGAATACGAAGACATTAACTTTAGGGAACTAACATGAATATTTTGATATTGGTGAGGATTAAATTTAGATAAAAGCTGCATAGGTTAAAATCAATAGACATTTTTCTAACCATGAACTTTGGATACTTTGAAATGAACTACTTAAAATATCAGTAATCATAACTGCCCATCTACCGTTAACCTTATCTAGTTTTGAGTTTATATTTTCAATAAATATGTTTATAAAAATGACAAGGATGGGTTAGTTCAACGTGACAATAAGAAATTTTACATTAACTGGATTGTGCTTAGGAAAATTAAGAGATCAAATAAATTGTAATCAATATCAAATGTTTTTTATTGGATACTTTAATACAGGGACTTATCTAAGTGATAAATAAGATTCATACAATAAAAGGTATTTATTAGCTGGCTACTTTTGTTTTCATTTTGTTCCAGAAATTCGGTGATTTTGTTGAGTCAACACAAACTCAAAAACAATTAATCGCTCAACTACAAGAAAAAAACAGGTGAGCTATAGAGTGAATAACGATACAAGACGTGTCTACGTATCAAACTAATAACAATTATTATGCAATTTAGCTCTAATATAATACGATATTTACTCATCCATTCATCCATTTGGATATAAATTTTACAAGAAAGGGAACTCAGCGACTCATTGATTTAATATATGTTTATCGGCTCAACCTTAAACTACTACATTTGTTCATTTGTTCTTGAGGGGATGACAAATAAGAAATTTATGATCAAGCACAAAAGGACTCATCGTTGACCATTCGGACACTTCAACTCGTAATTTCGTTAAATAGTGACTGAAGCGTTTAACGTTATTCGCTTCAATGACGAATTTGGGTCCGTTACATACTTTCATCTATTTGATTTCCTAAACATCAGATTGATTCCATCACTACTTTTATTTAATACACTTCTCGATAATCTGTGAGTTAAAAGGTGCTAAATTTGGTTTTCACTGAATAACTTACTCAAGCATGACAATATTATGTTAAATTCTATGATTGTAGTGATGCCGTATAGTAAAACGATATAGATAAACTTAGTAAATGATATTTGATCTTAAAATGTACGGAGTTCTTGTCTGAATAACAGAACCTATTATATTATAAAGATTTTACATTACAACCACGGTTATTATTTCTTTTTAAATTCTATTTATTTGTTGAAAATTATCACATGGTTTAGGTTGAACTGCAGTTGGTGTTAAAGAGATTGATAGATAAGAATTTTTGTACAGTTTTTGGAATAAGTAAGACCTTGTTCCTAGTTGCCTAAACCTTTGACAACAGAGTAGAAGACATTTGTTAAGTTTATGACCTGTCAGTCAAATAAACAATATATTCTATGCAACGTAGAGAGACAAATGATATATATATATAACTTTAGTTCTTGACAATAATTTTATTCGGGGAAATGTTTCATGGTGACATTTGTGTTTCCTTCCATTAAATTAGAAAAATACTAAAAGAGATTGAACGCTTACGAGTTGAACAACAAAAACAAGCAGCATTTATTGCTGCTGCTGGTTCCCTCAAACATGATTCCTCTGAGTTACAAGATGTTTGTGACGAAGGTGCTGGTACACTTAGTCCGACAAATTTAAAACAGTACTTAAAAACAGATAATTTATTGGCCTTCGGAGTTGGCAATTCAGTGAATTCAGAAAATCCGCGTTTGGTTGCTGATCTACAGGCGCTGCGCCAAAGAAAAGATGAACTGGAGTCGAGAATGAGTAATCTGCAGGTAATTAATTTCTTCGGAGCTGAAGATTCAAAACTCACATTAAAAAAGTGCTTCTAAACAGAAATGCATAGGAATTTACGAATTTGTGGTCTGTTTTATATTATAGAAATTTTTAAAATCATTTTAACTCATGAAAAATAAGTCCTGATACCATGAAGAATAAAAGACCTAAATCCTTCCCCTGGTAGGATCGTGGTTATTGGAAAACATCAAACCAGGACGAAATAGCCCACTAGTTCAGTGATTGATAAAAGTTACCTCTCTGAAACACAGAAGTATATTTATAACTGATTTTCAATGAACTTTCATCAAAAATCTGAAAACAACAATAACATCCAAATGCTTAACTAGGATACCTATCAGTATACAATTCACCGATCATTATATGGCAACTTGTCTTATTGCCTTTACATGACAGAAAAAACATATTTGTTTTAGATAATTTCATCGAAATCGTCCCACATATGTAAGTTGCGAGTGAAATTTTATCATATTGTGTGTAAGTTGTTAATGTAAACCATTACAGTGAATCTGATAAATTGTATCATGCAAATGTTGTTCACTCTTAAAATTCTTCAAGTTTGTTTTGTTGTATCCGTGAACACTAGTAGTGTTGTGCTCGAAACCTCAGGTGCTATAAACTAAAAAAGTGCCTAAGTAAACTATCAAAACCATACACTAAATACAATATTTCCACATCTTCCTTCAGCTGTCCTTTACACACTTTATGGTTCTTCCGATTCTGTTGTTACTACGATTGCTCTCTGTTTCCCTTCCTGTTTTATTCAATTCAGTCTTATGCTGGTAGGCATTTCATTTTCAATTACTGCTACATACCACTGATATCCGTCAGCCTAAATAGCATACACCACAGTAGATGTGAATAATAATTTTAAAGGTAAAGTTAACTTAGTTTATACAGAATAAATTTTTCTTCTCATTGTACATTTAGCGTAGTCGAACAGATTTGATGTTGCAGTTAGAAGCATTAGTAAGACTTTTATCTGTCAGTACAGGAGCTACTAATGCACGTGATAATAATCCTTCAGCGTTACTTGATCTAAATGATATTCGACGAACAGGCCACAATTCCCGACTAAATCAAAAAGTTCCAGATTATCCACCAAGACGAAGTACAAGTTTATGTGACCCATCAGTTGGAAGAAGTTATCAAGACAATTTCTCTGCAGTAAGTTGTTATTTGCTATTGCTGTGTTGTAACTCCTTGACTTACATGTAATAATTGTTTAATGGAATTTACACTAAACTGAAGGGTTTTCAAACAACAGTTGTATTTTTTAGAAAATGATACCCACTTTTTATTAGTTTAATGTTTATTAATAATCAACACTTGAAAAAATAAACACGTGTCTCTTGTAATTCCAATACAAACCAGCCATTTTTAAAAGTAGTTCATGTCAAATTTTGTTTCATGTATTGTAACAATGTATGAAAACTCGTATGAAGGTGGGAGTTTTTATCTCACATGAAAGTGTTAAGATGCCAAAATTAATAGTTTTGTTTGAAAGACAGCAGTAAGGTATGTCGCCTACATAATATTTCCTCTTATTAGTAATTTTTCAGTATATTACCAAGGATGGTTAATTTAAGCTCTAGGTCCGATAGAGAAAAAGTGCATAGAAAATTTGAAATCACTAGTGAACTATTTTCTAAGGTATGTGGCACACTAATTTTCAGAAAGTCTAAGACTCAGCGTTACTGCCAGTCTTCGAAACACATTTGTAATCAGTAATCATAATACAAAATTCTAATCACCCAAGTTATTCCCATATTTATTATGTAGAAGTTCTACTTCTTAGTTCGAAAATTATTCTAACCCTAAGATGGTATTGTGGTGTGAGCTACTTATATTGATATAAGTAGTGTATAACGTGCGTCAAAAGAACGTAATGTCTGGCAGCAAAAGATGGCGAAGATCAAGAAAGGTGGAGTGAGAACATAATGGAATTTGTAAGAAAACCTATGAACAATGGAATGGAAGACAATGGATTGGTGTTTGCAACAGAAACAGTCCAGTTTTGTTTGATGCATGAATATTTTGCAAATTGATGATTGACTATATGGTATTCAGATTTTGTTCAGATAGACTGTAATTGTTGTGCTAAGTACATCCGTTTGTCCCCACCCGTGTTCTTGTTCACTACAGTATCATCAACCTCAATTAACGGTTTATTCTGAGTGATCAAAAGGCGGTCTTCAGAAGTATAATTACACTTCTAACTTAACACCAATATTCTAAATAAGTAGTTGATGTGCAATTATAGGTTCTAGTAATTTGTAAATCGCTTCAAGTTAAATACAATCTGTTCACCGTATTCTGCAAATATTGTTGCTCTCGCCTTGTTCAGATCTGTAATGGAAGCTAACTGGATGAAATAAGATGTTTATTTCATTAGCGTACTTGAACTTGTTACTAATCATCAGATCAATTCACTGTACATGAAGACTACATTTACTTGTATACAATAAATTTTTTTCATTCACTTCTACCAACAAAAATTACTTTATCAACATGCACCAAAATAAATTGGAAGAGTTAAAGCCTATCCTCGTTGTTCAGTGGTCATTTATATCATATACAAATGAATGTAAGCAGTCTGAGATCACTTTGTTTATGCGAACTATTAAAAAATAATTTATCGTTTTCTCTAGATAAATATTACAAAATTTTCATTGCAGGAAAGTAGGCATGATAGAACGAATGGTGTTCATCCAAAACCCGGTTCCTCGGATAATATGGGTAAAATATTTTCCCCTTTAAAAACAATTACGATTGAAGAAAAAGGCGGACAATGGAATTTTAAATTTCCTGATGATAAAAAGCATGAATTACACTCACCTTCATCTATTCCGTACAGGTATTGAAAATATTTTTGATGTTTTTAGGTAGTAGGTGATTGTTTTACATCACACAACAATTCGTAATGAAAAACCCCAAAAAAATTTATTTAAATATTTTTATCATTCTCTCACAATTGATAATTAGACTTACATAAAAGGATCCAAAGTTACAAGGAAATTATGATATGTATCGTGAAAGAAACTTGTTAATTTTATATCCTAAGTAATGTGCTGCAACTTTAGTTTTTTCACCAAAATACTCTCATATACAATCAGTCGACCTTACTCTTCTGACAGTGAATTTTAGATATCTCGGAATTTTATTATGCATAATAACCTCTAACTGGCCTACCGCTAAGGACTGTAACCTGAGAAGTGGGATTTATATCGTTCGGATTATTACATTTTATAAGTAATCAACATTTGAAGTAACTACTCTTCAACAGTGTTTTCAGGTTCTTATTTCCAAGCACTTAATTAATACATTGTTGCAACTGATTGGTTTGCTTTAATTTTCAGTAGCACCAACCGGGTGACCAGTTAGTGCTAGTTTCATTCCTACCACTATTCGGAAGCATCTATCACATTCTTTGAAGTATATACAATGTGAAATTAAACACTTATGACTTCATACACAGATAGCGTGTTCTATATATACTTCATCACACCGACATATTTTTTCTGTAAGTGCTAATTTTATGTCGACTAAGACTTGGAATGTTTTTCGTTTGTGAATGAAAAGTTTATTGAATACCTAGTCAACATTAAAATTGTGAACCAGGGATTGTAACAATAAATAATTAATTGAGTAAGCCAGCTGTCAAAAAACTGGAAACATTTTGCTGTTTCTAAATCCATCTGAAAATGAAGAAAATTGTTGAAAGATATGATCATAAACTGCTAAAACGTGAAGTCTAGTTTAAATTATTCTTTGCATGATCTCTTGCTTGATTAGAAGTTGCACATGTAATTTTCAGTAGGATTAAATTTATAACTTTAAACGCTAACAAAATTCCATATCAAAATATCTGTTTCCAATAAGGTCACCTTTTAGAAATGATCTTTCCTTATATTTCATCTTAAGTCACCCCACCAACATGTTTTTCAGACATCATTAGGACGACTTATAGACAAAAGGGTAATGTTAAGTAATTTAACAATTATTTTCCGGTCTTTAACATACTAGGGAGACTTAAGCACTTGAAAATCACAGGTGAATGTATTTCAACAAATAGCATAGTAAACGTCCTCTATTCAACGATTGTATTATGTACTTTATCGTTTCATACTTGATTTTATAGACATTCACCTGAACTTGGTCAACAACGACCATCAGATACTCTGATTGAAAAGTACAAAGATTTATTATATAAAGGGACAAATCCACAAATTGGAGCATCAAAATCATTAAGAGTTCATTTCGGTGGGCGAAGACCCGATATAGGAGTAAGTTATATGATAATTTTCTGATGGTGTTTTAAAAGAAAATTACTAAGAAACTCCATAATACTATTATCTCAACTTATGGAAAAGTCCCACTGTGAAAATTAGAATATTACATATAAAAAAACAATATTGTTTTCAGTTAGATTCTCATGAGGCTTTACTGTAATACCTAGTGATATTGAGATGAGTATTTAAAAGATATTAAATCAATCAGGGTAATTTATGAGTCACTGAGAATAACAAAGTAGATTATATAGTTAAATGTAATAAGTAAAAATTACAAATTCATAGTGATATGATAGGTATACTAGTTCTCATAGAAATGATGAAAGCTTGAATTAGTATTTCAGTACATGCATCAAGTCAGAAAACTCGGAAAAATTAGTTATTGAAATGACATTCAATAAAAATTGTTAAAATTATATAGTGTGCTCAAATAATTAGATAGTTGAGAATATTTATAAGAGGTTGAAGAAAAACAAAGGAGCAAAGGAGACGGAAAATAGGATTGATAGTAAGTAAACCTATTTGTAAAGACATATTCGATCAAGAATCGAACAAATTTCCTCAGAGCACATTGCTAGGGCTCTTGGTTGATTTCAATAACTTCTGTTCTTTTTAAAAGATAAAATCGAAGCCCACTGGGAAACTGTGAAAGTATACAGCTTCATTTTATGAACAATATGAACTTTTTCGCCCATGTGTGATAAAATGGAACTGTAAAGTATTCGTCTGACTATTTCGAAACGAATTAGGAAGATATTCATTCATTCGATGGTTAAATTATCTGATGGTACGCATATTATAGCTGTCTCCGCAGGAGACGCTGAATTTGTAGATGCACATTGATAAGTCAAAATGAAGTTACTTGTCCTTTGTTTCAGTAAAGATCACCGGTAGACTAAGAAAAGATAAAGTAATGCTAGCTGCTCTAAAATTCCTAATAAAATTGATTGATTTTATTATTTCTATCAGAATCAATATGCCTGTCCTATCACTATGAATTTGTAATTTTTACTTATTACATTTAACTATATAATCTACTTTGTTATTCTCATTGACTCATAAATTACCCTGATTGATTTAATATCTTTTAGATACTCATCTCAATATTACTAGATATTACAGTAAAGCCTCATGAAAAATACTGTTCTCTCAAATGTGTTGTTCTAAATCTGAATAATTCATAAATAAGGTATAACCCGTGGATGTATCTAATCATTATTGATCTAATAATGCAGTTAATACAAAGTTACATGAGAATTCTTTGATATTAACAAAGATCTTTATTTGGGAAAAAAGAAATACAAAATTAGTAGATACTTTTTTTCCTTGTACAACAATTTAAAAGAAAATTTCTAGTTGACTATATGCTCCTAACCCAATTCTCTGAATTATAAAGTAAACTTAAAATATTCTAAGTTTCATTATGATGATCATAAATATTTCTCATGACTTTATTCATTGAAAGCCATTGAAATAAAACTATTTAAATTTAATCTGATCAAACTGATTAAATGTGTAGTAAGTACTTGACCTGATTTATTTCTTGCACTATTTAAGGTGGTGTTAAATTGGAAAAGCTACTTATTTTTTTTGCTGTAAACGATCTACGGAAAAAAAATCGGCTTTTCTACTCTTTAAAGTATTATAAAAGTATCACTTTAACTATCATAAAAATAATCTATCCCAAACCTAATTTATAGGAGATAATCACATCAGATTTAGAGAATGATGCTCACAATATCCTTATTCACTTCTCATAATATTATTTAGTATAAAAGCTAAAGAGCTCTAAGATTTTTTAACACGAAGTGTATTCATAATCTTTTAGTCAGTATCATTGTATTGCTAAACTTCTTGGGCGTTTTACTTAACCAAATCATTTCAATGAATATATGTTTGATTGTTTAATGTAGTCGTTCAATGAGTACCTATTGAACAATAGTCAATGTTACAATGAAATTTGAACAGTAATTAAGGTCTACATTACTTTTTTATCATTTTTTTATCAATCCAATTGATGGATTCGTAGTTGACTTCAAAACTTTTCAGTGAGCTAGTCAAGTTTTCCTCATTTTCACTCTTAATTTTTATAGCAGAACTTATCAGCTGATGATAAAACTGAATTTTTTGGTCATAATTCAGTAAATGTGAACAGATTGTCATCAAATCATTCATCGCAACATACAAATCACTCGGACAGCGGATCGGATGCATATTTATACTCAGATCCTGAATTATGCTTTACAGTCATCACATCTACCTGTGGTTCATCACAATCTAGCACTTCAGTACCACAAAGAGCATTACAGTTACCACAATTCCATTCTATAACTCCATCTGCTAAAACTTCAAATAAATCCAAAGATTTTCTAGATCTTTTAAACGATAAAATTATAACGACAACCACAATTGTAGATAATTATGAATACGCTGGTTTACAGTCATCATCAATCTCACCATTATCATATTCGTCAAATGAACACACTAAACATTTTAGAACTAACGTTATTTCAAACATTCCAGCTACAACTAATCCCTAGTTAGCAAAACAGTAAGTAATTATTTAATTTCAATCAATTTTTATCCACGTTATTTAAACGATTCTATATACTTACTGCCTGCTTAACCAAATATATACCATTGTTTAAATATTCCAGAGTATATTTAAGTTGAATAATTCTATTTAGGGTTATTTAACTCCTTATTTTATAGCTAGCTGGCTTTCTTGGATATTAGTTTCAAATTCCTAGTCTTCATTGAATGATACGATATTCTAACAGACCGTCATGTACTGCTATATTTAAATCACTGATAACTTAAAGATATATGACTCATTGATGTTATACACCTAATTTTTGTCATTTCCTAAAAATTGCTGGATTGTAGCTAATAGTGAACGAGAACACAAGTAGGTACAATCGAATGTATTTAAACACAAAATTACAGAATATCTGAGAACCATACAGTAAATACTTCATTTGCAAAATATCAGACAATCGTCTCAGACTTCATTGTTCTTTCGTCTCCACATCAATCATTCACTGTTCTCGTCCTTATTTCTTCGATCTTCTTAACCTTCTGCCTCCAGGCATTTCACTTTCGATTGATGATACAGACTATTGACGATACATCCAACAATGGTTTTAGTGATGTTTATCTCACAACAGACCTGGTTGAACTCCACTGATCACTACTTCTCACTAGAACTCCAGGAAATATCTCTTGAAGCTAGTCACTAGTGAGCATATGTTGATTCATATCAGAAGGGTTTTGTCGATATTATGATAATTTCAATGGTTGAGATCATGAGTCAATTGAAGTTAGACCACCATGGAAAACCTAGCTTCAAATGACTCATGATCTCAACCATTGAAATTACTATAATATCTACAAAACCCTTCAAATATTTATTGGTTTAATGAAATTATACAATAGAACTACACAAGTAATATTTACATAAACCCCGCTACATCGGGTTAAGAGTGCTGCACATGTGAAATAGGACTTTCTATCAACGGTTTTGATTAAATTTTTCGTCGAAATAAATCGTAATTATGCGTGTCTCTAAACGTTTATGTCTGTTACACATTATCATTCAATGGAAATGAAACAACAGCAAATCGAACGGAACATCGTCTAATGGAAAACGATTTGATAATTATATGTTCCGCCTTACTAAAATAGCTAACATAAAATGCATTTATAAGATATAAGAATGATTTGAAGACAGCTGATTTTAATTTTAATTTTCTTGGAATACGTTAATCAAAACTATTATTGAAAGATCATGTGTAATAAAGTAGCTTTCAATGATTAGTTTAATTTCGTGTATTAACTTACAGTGCGGCTATTTGTATAAACCAGTTAACATATCAAATAAAATTTATGACGCCATATTTGGATTTTTAACTTTGGCCAGCTTACGATATCATGCGATTATCAACATGTATCTACGTATATACTTTCGTACTCAATGGAGTACTATTTCGATGAATCAACATAGATATTTTCACATTTTCTACGTTGTGAGCCATGAAGTTTCCTGAAAAAACCCTAAGAACCTAAACACTGAAGTGTTGACTGACTAAATAGTTATCGTTTCTCATCGAGCAGTTTTGTGTTAATCAAGAGCTCCATTCGTTTAAGTTAAACAACATGGCAACCATTTTCAAATTATCTAAACGAAGAATTTTCATTCATTGTACATTTACTATGATAATGTACTTAAAATTTCTCAACTGGTTCACTAATTTGCATTAGAGTGGGACTTAAAGCACTTTTTGAAACTGGTAAGATTGTCTAAAGTCCTATACAAATAAAAAGACTATCTATTTCGATAGACAGTCCTTAAATACTATTCCACCATTTAAAAATAAGTTTCACCATTAGTCGGATTGAGTTATTGCAAATAGTAATGATATACGAAGAAACCAAGTACAAATATTTAGCTTTATTCCTAAAACTCCTAGCGGTGAAAACAATCTCCATGATAGAGTAAACAATCATGTACATAAAGTTAAAATATTAAGGCTCATCTAATAAAAAATAATAGATACCTAATGTTCTTGTCTATAGTAAATATGATAATATTCAACAACTATACTGTCATTAATATCTTGTCACTCATAGATATACACGCTTGAATGAATAAAATATAGCAATCATTTCGTTTTACGATAGATGTACAAACCATTAAATATGAATACTTTACTCAGCACCATCGAACTTTATAAGTTTATTATTTGTGAACTTTCCAGATGAGAACATATGGTCGACTGTTGACTATCGTTCATCAAGAATAATGATAGTTTATCTACGCAATAATATGGTATTTTGTAGTTCTTATATTTTTCGATACATTTAATCACTAAGTATACTGGTCTATTCGATTTCAGGTATTCAGCAGTTATTGTGATCAAATTGAATATATATGTATATAAAATAGGACAAAATAATTTATTATTATACAATCATATTCGAGTAATGCTTCATAGAAATGAACATTCTTTTGATTTTAAACAAAAAAGGCAGAAAATACAAATCCATATCATGAGCAACAAACAAACGAATCTTGAACATTTTGATTCATATTTCATCTCACGCTTAGCAGAAGAAGGGAAGAAATCTTTTTTTTGTTGTTTCTTATCTTATTTCATTTAACTTACTCTCTGTTTTTATCGTTCATTGTTAATCATTTGTAATGTTGATTAAAGATTGTCAATGTAAATGTAATTGTTTTCTCCATGTAAACAAGCAGTTGTTTATGCTTTCAATTATGTTTGTTGTACGTAATAAAAAAGAATTCACTTCCACCACCATTTATACTTTATATATATATATATATATATATATATATATATATATATATATATATATATATATATATATATATATATATTTGGTACACTCATTCTCCTATTTATCGCTTAATAGTTTACCTAAAATTTATAGTTCTGCAGAGGAGATATTGATGCTATTGTTTTCAACAACAACAAAAAGGTAGATACTGATTACAAAATGAACAAACTACCTCTTGTTTTCGTTTATTCTGATCACTAGATCGAAATCAGCACTATTCAACTCGTATAAAAATAGATTTGATTAATTAACAGAAAGATGTTGAACAAAATGCTATGAAAGTGAATATATGTGAAAGATTCTTGTTTTTATTTAATTATTTATAAATTTCTTATTCATATTGAAAATAATTTATTATTTCTTCTTTATTCTATCATATAAGAGAACACAATTGTATAATCATATCCCAGATGGAAATAATGATGGTTTATCTGAACTTTATTTCGTTTCCTTATAATGAACATTCACAATAATTGTATTCAGTTAAATAAAACAATTATGTTGTTCAACTAATTATTAATTTACCTATCACTGGAATTGTGATATTATTTATTTGAATAAAATAGTCATCAGTCATTCATTAATCTTCTTTTATCACTGTTTCATCATTCATAGTAATGGGTTAACAAGTAAAGATCCTGATAGTAGTAGCAATTTTTCCATGTTTATTTCATAATGCAAACCGTTATATATGTATAAAGGTCTTTTCTTGACATTCATTGGTATAGGGCCAGAAATGTATCAACATTATTTATTCCATAAGCTTATTTCTGGCTTCTATTTTAAACTCAAGAAATTCAGTATTTGAAGTTCTGGATATTTCTTACAGCTGAATCATCAATATTTGCTTTCCCAAAAACAATCAGTTTAATAATTTATTTATGTTGATAGCCATTGGCGTCATTAGAGTGTATTATTTAAGTATCTTCTTTTTATTTGACTTTTAAATTAGATTTAACAGAACACATTCTAATTTAATCACAAAATTTCTAGTTTACTTGAGACTACCTAATAACTAGTTCAAATAATTAGATGGTACAAAATGATTTCGTACACATTTTCAACTTACATGTGATACCCATTCAAAAAAAGCATTTTTGTAATACCCAAATGAGTAGAAAAATCAAGCTTTCTGGCGTTTCATGACTAAGTATAAGCCACATCTTCAGAGGATAAATAAACAAGTTAAATTAACCCAAGTTTAAATAGTAAAAAGGAGCAAAGCAAAAATAAATAGTACGATCAATCAAAAAAATGACTTCGATCAAGTCGATATCATGTCACTGTGATCAAGGTGATCTATGAAAAACATGGTTGCGTATTTGTGTATGTGTGTGTTAATGGGTGAAAAATGTAACATATGTGATATGACAGGATAGAGTTGGGTTTTTATATGTCTCAATGGTGTGAGTTGTGAACGGGATCATACATGGTAGCTCGGACATATGATCGAAGTCGGGTGGTTGTTTAGGCTTTCTTTTCAATTGAAGGTAGTAGAATTTAGCAATATATGGGAAGTTTCAGCTACTCACCTTTCTTTGTAGTTGAAAAAGCCCTTTTGCATTATTTTAATATTTCTAATTTCTACTTGACGGTTATTGAAGATAGCGTGAACTGTCATTGCCGATTTAATTTGAAGTTTTTCAAGTTAAACAGGATTATCAGTAGAGGGCTGGAGAGATTGTTGAGTTTTTATTGACATAATGAATCGATCAATCTTAGACCACCATTGAAAATTTAGAAGCACTACGCGTCCGTTTCGTCCTAGTATGGGACTCCTCAGAAGTGCACATCCACTGTCCTGTGCGTGAACGCCTAACCTCTAGACCACTGAGACGGGATCCAACGATCGTAATGTCTAACTCCAACTAATCCAAGATATTGCCCGACCATATATTGTCTTCGATGGGTAACTGCTATTTCGTGTCGGATGTAACACTTACATTTACACTCTTCAGTATTACTGCTCTTTCTTTCCGTGTTGCTGCGAATATGAAAACATCCTGTCAACACGCAGTGAATAGTTTGTTATGCATAACCTTTATCACAATATATAAACTCGTTAAACGTCGTCGTAAATTTTAGATGCAATCTAACTGACTTATTCTGCAAAGAGGCCATTTGTATAAATCAAGAATTTGGGATCACCAGTTTGCATACAACTGTGATGTCTGAGCACGTGGTTAACCAGTGAAATAATGTTTCCAGTGGGATTAATCCATAAAAAGTCATTTTTGTGAGATTGATTGGTAATAAACCTGTCAAAAATAGGACATTTTATGGGAAAACAGAATCCCTATTTCAAGCAGAGACTGATCAATTGCAGTCCTAAACATCCATGGGAAGATTCAAATAACCAATATAAAAATGAATTAAAATTCCTATTCACATGTGGGTGTGTAGAACATTTTGCTGCTATTCAAACGAATACATTGGATGCTAAACAGAAACAGCACCGAATATCTAAGGAAACCAACAGTCGCGCTGGCAGATATATGTGATTTACACTGTTATCTTCTGTAACTTTGCCTAAAATCTGAGATTTTTCAATAACTCCAGCACTCACCTATAAAAACACTGAACATGCATTCAAAAGGAACATATAATCGATTTCAACGTTCACTACCACTTTCTTTACTCTGCTGATGAATGTGATGAGTGTGTCATTTTCATTTGCGAGATACCTGCTTCACTTACTCGTTGACAATCTTTAAAGCCACGTCCGAATTCTGCCCAACTGAAGAACCTTTGATCGAGCAATCACAGTTAAAAAATAACACCCAGGTCTACAGAAGCCTTAGTGAAACTAGTAGATGCGATAGTACTGCTATTAACCATAGGCAGGAAGCTCCGAAACAACGCGGAAATTCCATTTAACGAAAGGATACATAGCAACGAACAATAATTAAAGTGATCTATTAACAAGAATGTTTTGAAAACTATCCAACGGTTACAAATGGGCATGTACTAGAAAATCAAGGCAGGACGCAATCAGTATTTGAATGCTGAATGGCCGCCTTCACTCTAGCCTTTCAAAGTCGTGTGAACTAAAGTGAGTTAATTTGAAACATGGGTTGACTTTTAACCTATACCACTGTCCTTCATATCAGTCGAAAATGTTAGTCTACATTAAATGTAACCTTTTGTGATTTTTATTTGGTTTCCAAATGATTATTGTTATATCAAATTGTTCCGAAGATATGAATGTATTTATGCCATTATAATTTATTCATTCGGATGATAAAAATAATGTTTATATTTTAAATGCCATCCTTCCTTTACAGAATTGTTTTGAGGAGAGCTAATTACTGCTAGTTAGTCAGTAAACTTTCGGAGCTTAAAAAGATCGAGTGCTAAGTCTATTACTGTATTGTTGTTGCTAACTATTGGTCGTATTTGGAATATTTGACTTGAATGTGTATGGCAAGTCATTGTTCGATCAGATAGTAGAATAGTTAGTAATACTATTGATAATTTAAAAAAGTTTTTATTTTAACGGCGCTTCAATAAGTTTTTACTCACTTGGACCTGTAGGTTTATTTACAAGTGAATGAATAAAATTTAGGTTCTATAGTACTTGTCACAGTGAAGAGATATCAACTACCAAATAATATTTTTCTGGACTTTTTTGTCTCGTATCCTAGCTACTAAAAAGATAAATAACTTTGTTTAAAGAGGTTAAGCAACCTAATTCTTTTACATTAAAACGAACTATTTTCATTCAATAACTTGACTGAAAATTTGAAGATTTACATCACTATCCTTTTATTCTGTTCTACTTTGATCCCTATTCTCAAGAATGCAATGTTAAACAATGTTAAGGTAATAGATGTCACGACCAGCTTGATATCATTTTCGTTAATATCTCTTGATGAGTGAATACTAAGACAGTGGCTAAAAATAGTTTCTATGGTATGTTTGTTAATTTCCGAAATTTTAATGAACTATCTTATCCGAAACATTTACCGTAAAATAAAACAATAAATATTAAAAATTATTCATTATTGTATAAATTGTTGTATATATACAATAAAGGGGGTTTGGTGTAAAGTTTTTAATATGCAGTTGACAAGTTCAATCAGGTATACTGATAGTCTAAGTATTGTCCATGGTATTTAACTTTACTCACTGAGTCGTAAAACGATCCATTGTTTAATTTCACTAAAAGAAATTATCCGCTAACATCGAACTTGGAAGTTATTTTAATACAACTCCATAAATGTCTATAAATTTCATTGTTAAAAATTCAATGAACTTCCCTTGTCCATAGTAACAATGACTTTCCAATTTATCTGATAAAATATGTAGGTATCTCTTCTGTCCCAACAGCTATCCCCACAGGTAGTTAATAGCTCTCTTATGTGGGATATCCAGAGATAAAATTGGTTTTTCTTACTTAATACATGACTTTTCTATCATATCTTTGAGTCGAATATATAGTTTACAGGATAAGTGACTAAGTTTAAGTGCAATCGTTGCAATAATTTTTCAGATAGATAGAAATGATAAGAATGAGCGCTTTTTATAACCTTTTAACTTACTGCTTCTATTTTGAATTAGATTCATATAAATCAACTTTGTTTATCATAGTTTATGATCTTAAAGTGTAAATCTTATTACTTCATATAGAATCTATCAAATTGACAAATGACATATTTCATCTAATTGTTGGTTTATTACTATAAAGGCTAAAAACAATTATTCGATAAAATATTTTTTTATCTTTTTGAATCTTGATTCCATCCACTACTTATCATTTACACATAAAACATGACGACCTTAGCTATATTATTCTATAGTTTACTTTCATCATAATCAGTATACACTTAGTTAGTCTTTCAAGAAGCTCTTATAAAACAGTGCCAATGTTCGATGATTTTTGAATGTCTAATTTATATAGATCTAAGCTGTTTCATGTTCTCGTAAAGAAATAACGTCGGAAGTTGTTATTTTCT